TATCTTCATTTTTCATCTTTCTAGTTTTTTTTCTTCATTTTGTATTCTTCTCTTTGACAGATTTTTTTCTAACTATACATTTTTCTGTGTGATTTAATAATGATAACTCAAACTATTGAACCTTTCCCAAATTCTTCATTTAAATAAATTTGATGTATACGTAACGTCTACCATTTATATATTCTCTGTAATATTATATTTAATTATAATTTTGATCGTTTTTATCTTCAAGAAGACAGATCTTCTATACGATTTAACTTGTTATTATTCATTACTTTTTTTTGTTGAAAATTTTTATTTAAATTCCAATGAAATATTACATTTTCTTTAGGATAGAATTATAAATGTGTGTGTGTGTGTGTGTGTGTGGAGTCGTGGCACGTTTCTTCTCGTGTCATTAAACTTGGAAAAATCGAAAAGGGTTCCTTCATTTCATCTTTTTGTCTTTCTTTTTATTCTTTATTTTCTGAGCTTCTCTTGGATATCATCGACAAAACTCGTCCGTATTCAAATGTGTAGCTAAAAGAAATTCAAGAAGCCGAACGCACAGCTGAATTATTACGTCAAGTTTAAAAATGAAAAACAACAGAAAAACTAATCATATTTTTTTTTGTCATTTTCTATCTACTCCAAATGTATTTTTCTTTTTTCATAAAATCAATTTCATTCTAAATCATGTTTAAATTATTACTACTAGAAATATCGGAGATGAAGAAATAAAAAAATAAAAAAGAGAACAAGATATCGGTCGTCGGATAATTGTCGTGACGAAAGATCGTAAAAAGATTTTGTTGAGAAATTCGAGGATACTCGCTAGCTGGCGTATATTGCGTGAGTACTCGTCGTTATGCCAGATAAGATTACCAAAAGAGATAAGCCTTCATACTGTGAGATAAAACACGTTCCTTGTACGTTGGACTTAGAATTGGCAAGAGAACATTACGAAAAACATCTAATATGAGTAGAAAAAGACTTTTTTTCTAAAATCTTTATCAACAATTCAAATATTTATCTATCAATTATGAATTTTTCTTGCATAAAATCGATTATAATCGATTACGACGATGAAGGAATAAAAATAGGAAGATTGATAAATGAAATAAAATATTTGAAAAATACAAACAAAAATCAATGTTTAAATGATACAAAATCATGGGCTGAATTGGGGCCGAAGTTCGATACATAATTGGTAACATACGGGGAAGTATAATATCTTATGGGGTTGCTGCACCATTAACGGCCCACGACGATCATTGTAATATAGGTTTAGTTTAGTTCACTTTGAGTAGGGTGAGTTTCGCGAAACTCGACCCTTCCCTTCTCTTCTGTAAATGTTATGGAGAAGCAGAGAGAGAGAGAGAGAGAGAGAGAGAGCGAGAGAGAGAGAGCGAGAGAGGGTGAGAAATGGTAGAAGGGGGTGCATAATTTATCGACGCTACCCCTGCGAATGCAATACGTTACACACTGTCTCTATGCATATAGATTCCAAAGGTTATCGATGTTACCCTCGCTACGAGCGCGAACATAATGGAAGGACTGCCGATAAATAGCCTAATCATCGCTACGAATTCATCGTCTATTTCTCTCTATCTCTATCTCTCTTTCTATCTCTAAGAATACTATTATTATACTACGATTTGCTAACTTTTCATTCTCATTTCATTTTCTTTTTTTTTTATTCCTTATTTACATATAACACAACATTATTATTAAAAAATTATGTCTTTCTTTATTTTTTATATATTAACCTAATTTGAGATTAAATTATTACTAAAGAATTATTATACCTAGATATTGATTTTAACCAAAAAAAAAAAGAAATATATATATATATATAGAAAATAATTTCGCAGGATATATCGATCAACAAATTGTAAAATAGATTACAATATTAATTCTTTTAATTATTTCGATTATTATCAGTAAATATTTTGAATATATATATATATAAATGTGTAAACGCGAAGATCGTCAATTATTTTGTAAAATACAAAAAAGAAACAAAATGAAAACAGAGAACAATCATGAAACTTACCTCACCTACATACGTGTAACCATTTACATTACAACATTATACTTACAGACATAGTTTTGTTTTTTTACTAAAGGATGAATAATTGGTGTTCCCGCTTAGAATAGAATTGGCTTTTATTGTGACTAGATTACAAACGGGGCGTCAAATGGCGCTCAATATCTCGGGCCCAGTAGGAACGTTTTACACGTATTTTAGAGTCGGTGAAAAGTAATCGGATGAGAATCGAAAGATGTTTATTTTCTTTCTCGCACTCTTTCTCTCTCTCACGCACACTTTTACTCTCTCTCTCTCTCTCTCTCTCTCTTTCCCTTATTCTATTTCTTTGTCACTCTCAGTGTCAGTGAATCTTTCTTTATCACGAAACGATCTCACCGCGATAAAACTGGGATATGTGTTATTATTACGACGAAAATTGTTTGTACGACATCCGGGATTCATACAAAATAACGGCCGTATCTTAATTTCTAAAAATCCTTATTATCTTCCTATATATTCGATCTATGACTTTTTTTCATTTTTTTTCAATTTTGCTTTTTCCCCCACTTTCTGCCCCCCCCCCTACACCATGATTTATTTCATTCTTTCTTCCTTTGTCGACTTTTTCAAATTCCAATTGATTCATTATTTTTGTCTTTGTTTCTTTTCTGTTTTCCATTAGACGTCGTTGCATTTTCCTTAAAATATACATATATATATATACGCATATATATATATATATATATTTTTTTTTTTCTCTTTATTCATTATTTTTTAAAACTTTTAATTTATTCAATCTCTTGTTCACATTTCCGTTTTTATTTATATATTTATATATATTAGTAATTCTATATAAACAGACTCGCGCGGACGTCTTTGGTGTAGCCTTTTAAATGATTTATTTGTATAATATATATATATATATATATATATCGTATCGCATGATCGAATAAAAATCAGATAATTTCTCCAACAACACTAATCTCGTATGTTTTTCTTTTTCTTTTCTATTTTTCTTTTTTTCTTTTTTATTTTTATACGCGATTTTATTGCACCACCTTCACAGGTTTTTTCATCCTCTTTTCTCTCTTTTATTTTTTTTTTTATTATTTAATAATTATAATTATTATTTTGTAAAGGAAATAAAAACGAAAAAAATATCGTTCGACGAACGAATGAATATCGATGGTCTATAGACATAAAAAGAACAAAACTTTTGGACATCCCACACTTCCGTGTAATTAATTTACTTATTAAACGTTAATTTAATATTTATAAAGTACGCCTACGTAGTGATTTTATTTTATTCCTTCAATAATCATACTTTTTTTTATCATTTTTATTTCACTATTACTTTTATTTTATATTAACTTTTATCTTTTTATACTTTATTATTAATATTATTAATATTATTATTATTATTTTTTTTTTAAATATAATTATTATTATTATAATTATTATTATTGTTATTATTATTATTAATCCTTTTTTTCTTTCTCTCTCTCTCTCTCTCTCTCTCTCTCTCTCTCTCTCTTTCTTTTTCTTTCTTCAATTTCTTCATACACTGTACAAAGCAAGACGCGACCGTCGAACAAAAAATTCATTTCCATTATTTTGAATCGTTCGTTCGTTCGTTCGTTCGCTTTTATTTCTTTTTTAGTTTATCATTATTGGTTATCATAATAATCGTATTCGTCCAATCGTCATCGTCATAATTTGCGTAGTCGTAGTCGTTTTATTTACGATATACACGAATTTAGTATACACTTAGGCTTTGCATTTGAAGACAGCGTCTACTATACATATATCTACAAAGAATAATGAGTTAGGTAAGCTCGTCTTATTAGAGTGATCCTCGTTATCCGTCACGATACACCAGCACATCGGTCTTACTCGATCGATAAAGTCGTTTCAAGAGTATTTCCAACTTTCCAAGTGTTTTTTTCTTTTTCTTTTTTCTTGTTCTTTTTCTTTTTCATGTACTCTCGATTAAATCACGTAAGAGTTAATTTTGCTAACGACAAAGAGACTGACAAATTGTCCAAGGATTTTTTACGCACAAAAGATTATCTGTACAGAATTTCCTTGAAATTTGTTTATTTAATTTGTCACACGATGCAACCGATCGTTGAACGGTTAACGAGGAATGACGAGTAATAAGGTCTCACTGATTCACCGTTCGTTAACCACCTTATTCCTAACCAAAAGTGTAGAAACAAAAAAAAGGAAAGAAAATGAAAAAAAAAAAAAGAAGAAAAAAAACACTCAAATGTGGAATATTGCACGTATAGGTTGGTCCTTCAAATCCCTCAAAAAAGATAATAATATGAAAATCACTGATACAAGATGCATTTACCAGAAGGGGAAGGGGAGTAATCATCGATGAGGTCTAGTAGGTGAGCCACTAGGTGAATCGTAATTCGGTAGGATATAGTCTGGTGTGAAATTTCATTATTAATTAATTATCGTCACGAGGCAGAGAAAGACTCTGAGAACTGGAAGAAATTGGTGGTGTGGTCCAACAGTCGAATAACGATGGCCAATAACTCGTAGCCGAAGTTGCGTGTTGCCAATAGCCGGCCAATCCGGTAGCAGCGGCCGTAGTAGCATTAGCGGATCCACCTATGCCAACACCAACGCCAACRCCAACGCCAATCCCAGCTGTGCTCGAAACGATTTGCTGCTCATTTTGAAGAGCTGTGCCACTCTCGAGGTTAACAGCCGTTCGTTCCTCTTCTATTTTCTGGTCCGCCGTGGTCCCGTCTTCGTCATAAATGAGGTAATGCGGGTGGGAGGTGGTCGAAGAGGGCGTCGACGATAAAGTCGGCGAAGCGGCGGACCTAGGCCTGGGTCACTCCTGCGATCTTAAGTGATTGTCGGTAGTCTGTTGTTGAGAATTAACACCAGTAAGGACTACTTGATTGGCTGCCGCGGCCGCTGCCGCTGCCGCGCTACCACCACCAATGCCATTGCCGGAATTTGAAGGTACACCGTGATGATGGGGGCTAGATGTAGCCCCCGCTTCGCCTCAGACCTGGGCTCTCGCGGTCGCGTGAGCCTCGGGTCCACCTGGCGAATGAGGATTCGCCCCGCCAGCGCCGCCGGCGCCTCCACCGCCGCTCGTCAAAGCATATTGACAGGCACTGAGACTACCACCGACCGAGGACGCCCTTGAACTCACTGGACTTATGCTACCGGTAGTTGCACCGCTCGTACCACCACCACCACCACCACCACCACCACCACCACCACTACCACCACCAGCACCAAATGATCCACCAGTTGAACCACCGTAACCGCTGCTGTGTTGTTTAGCCTTCAATCGTAAAGAAGCGATGCTGCTAGACGTCATTACCGTGCACGTTTCTGGCGGTGCGGCCGTTCTATGATGGGGCGTATAAACCGGTGGACCGTAGGGATGATGCGGCGCTGCTGGAGCCGCGTAAGGACACGCGGCGCTCGATGCTGCTACAGGAGAACCAGCTACCCCCAATCCCGAACTCATTCCAGGTAACATCGAGGTAGCGGCTTGACCGACGGATACCGACATGCCGCTTACATGACTTCCGGCTACCGAGGTTGACGCGTTGAAACAATTCACGGGACTAACTTGAGCGTGATGATGATGATGAGAAGCGGTTGGTACCACCGAGCTCAAAGTATTCACCCATGGAAACGTTTTACTACTTAGAGGCGACGGTACCTTAGCCGCCCAGTTGTTGTAAGTGCTATACGAACTATAAAGAGTGTCCGGATCTGGAAAGGGTTGTCCGATAAATCCATTCAAACTGGCCGTACTGAAACCTGATTTCCCAAAATCAGCGGCTGCAGCTGCTGCATTCAAAGCGTTCCTTTCCTTCTTTCTCCATTTTGCTCGCCTGTTCTTAAACCACACCTGGGAACAAATAAATATATCTTCCTGTAATATCTGTCACAAATTATTATTATATAAATATATAGTTATAATGTACCCTATAACTTCTGTAGACAAAACTTTCTTAAAGAAGTTAGTAAAACCCTAATCGACTTCTTCAAAGCCACGTAAATACGATTCCCTCTTTTTACTCTTTCAAGATTTCTCGTTAACGAATGTCTCTCATATATCGAGATGTAAGGTAAAAGGGAGAGACCGAAGTTTCGGGGGATCCCCATAGTTGTTTCTTCTTTTCGCCAGATTTACCGGAGACTCGTTCGTTTCTGATATTACTCATGTAGGTAGCTAGCAAGCAAGCAAACAAGCAAACAAGCAAGCAAGTAAGCAAGCAAGCAAAAAGAGAGTAAGAGAGATACTCGTGCAAACTGGCACACAGATGAGCGTGTCTCGAGACAAATGGCAACGGAAAGCCTGTGTACGAGGCTCCTCCATCCTGAAATATGATGGCGTTAATTCAAGTCGGTTCCTCTCTTATTCCTACGTTCGATACCGAGCTTTCTCGTCAGCCGTTTCCACCCTCCTTTTTTCCCATCCCTCTGTTTTTTTCTCTCTCTCTCTCTCTCTCTCTGTTTCTCTCAGTTGGCAGTTCGACCTTCTCCCTAACAATTATACGGCTGGTTGCGCTTAGATACACGTCGCTCTCGCGTAACTGTAAGGCAAGTACCGGGTAAATGTAACGGCACACGGAGGGTTCCGTCACAGAATAAGATCAAGGAAAAGAAACAGAGAGAGAGGGAGAGAGAAAAGAATATAGAGGCTTTTTGGGAAGAGAACTCCTTGGTAAGATGGATGAGCACAACGATCGTACCGTGGAAACGCTAAGAACCGCAACGAGTCATTGAAAGTAGAAAAAGGGAAGGGCAACTAAATGAAGAATAATGTCATTGCGATTATTTCCAAATATGGTTGCTCCTACGATATTATTCTATAGTTTTTGTTTTTGTTTTTTTTTTTTTTCTTTATCCTTTTAAATCAGTCTCTTCTATTCCCGTTAGAATGATTTGAACGATTAACTTTATCCCATTCTTTGATTTCCCTTGATGTTTCATTTTGTTGATGTAGTTATTTTCGGAAAAGTATTCTACACGAATAGTATAGAAGAGAGATTTTCTTTGGCGAAGAAGGAACAAGGAACGCCATTGAGTTTTGTGAAACAAGGGCGTAGGTGTGACGGGTGGGAGCGACGACTGGGCCGACGACGGTAAGCCGAGAGGGAGTAAACTCGATAGGACAGAATGGTACTACGGTGGAGGAAAGAAGCCGCGGCTCGAGAATCAATAAACTCCGAAGGCGAAGGCGAAGGCGAAGGCAAAGGCAAAGGCGAAGGCGAAGGCGAAGGCGAAGGCGAAGGCGAAGGCGAAGGAGAAACTGAACAAGAAGGCAACAAGGCCGCGCCCATAAACTTTAACAGCATCGCAAAATCTCGGCACGAGGCGACGGGAACGATCCCGTTTGCTCGATCCGTTGGTCATAAACTTGATGAATGAACTTTCGGATCTTGGGTACGAGCTCAGGACTAGACTAGAGAGTTAAGTGTCCCGTGTTAAGATGACTTTAACCTTTCTACCAAATCCAATTGGTAATGAACTTTAATAATATCGTAATAATATGCCAAGTAATATGGCATGCTAAATAAAATCAATTAAATAAACGAATAAAGTCAAACAGTTGGATGATACTGGAATTTAATAATAAGAGGATTACTTTAGAATAGTTTAGAGCAATTGGTCTATTCGGTAGATGCGATAAATCGAATCAAATGTTTTCCAGTCGGGGTACCAACACACAACGAACAATGGCCCCCGGTCACGTCATGTGAGCAATAAAACCTCATCAAATCACGACCCCTCGCCACACCATACCACACCATAGCACACCGTGTAAGCTTCTGCGCGCACGGCTCAATCTACGAAAGCTTATATAAATGTAATGAGACCGTGACCGGAGGGTGTCTCATCAATCACCCCCTGTCCCCATGCCAGTTTCCTCTCTCCTCTTCATCTAGGCCAGTACTGTTGCCCACCAACCAACCAACCAACCCCTGAACGATCGACATTATCCTAGCCTTGTTTTTTTTTGTTTTTTCTTCTTCTTCTTCTTCTTCTTCTTCTCCTCCTCCTTGTGATATTCTTTTTCTAACTTTATGTACGGTCATAAAGTTAGAAAAATATGTCATGTGTTCACGCGTACACGAGTTTATACCTGCGCACATAAACGAACTTACCTAGGCATACATAGAGAGAAAGAGAAACGATCGGATATTCGGTGCTCTCACGAGCCATTGTAATCCGGGTGACTTAACAGCATCGAAATGCCCGAGAACGATCGGATAACAATGATTTGTTCGGCCGCACTTCGCGGTCACGCGTATTCCGCTATTAACGCACCACCATCGGACACGGATTAACAAACGTTTATAACTTCTGCTACGTGCGTACTCAAAATACTATCTAAATGGCTTCACTGTTCTTTGATATATGTATCTAGAGGTATGTATGTACGTACCTAGGTCTATGAAAACTAGTGTCTGTTTATCACCAAATTCTAACGAAAAATACCCAATAATAATTCTTACTAACAAAACATTTATCCGATTCAAATTTACCTGGATGAATTAAAGAAAATTATGAAATATTAATTATTTTAGGATCTATAAACTTGATCATATGAATCAATTGAATCAAAACTATGAAAAAAAAAAAAAAAGGAATACAATGTTTAAGAATCATCGAACAAATTATTATTCCATTGATCAAGATATACCTGTATAAATAAAACAAATCATTAAATAATAATAATTATGATCTATAAACACGAGAAGATTCAATTAGAGTTTTGAAGATACGAATGTTTTCTCAACGTCAAGCAAACTTAGTTGCCTGGCCCCGGAGGATATCATGAGACGCGTATTGAGACGCAGACGTATGAAATAGAAAGAGAGAAAGAGAGAGAGAGAGGCTGTCAGTTCGTATCGTAAGACATGAAGAGAGAGAGAGAGAGAATGAAAGAAGAAGAGAGAAGATTGGAGGGTGAAGTCGAGAACGGTGGTTGGAGGGGAAAAGGAAGGGACGACTGCTGCTCCTGCTGGATATAGAAAGAGAGAGAAACAGGATGAGGAGGAGAAAGAGGAGAAAGAGGAGATGGAGGAGGTGGAGGAGGAGGATAATATTGATCCCCTCGTAGCCCCGCCCCTCCTCGTCGAGCGACGCCATCATTATATTATCCACCATCCCTCCATCTCTAGCGACGTATGCGCACACCACAAACTCTAGATCTACGCGCAAGCACGCACATACACATATATATATACAAAAGAGAAAGAGAGAGAGAGAGAGAGAGAGAGAGAGAGAGAGGTGTATGAATATACATATACGTGATAAGTCTCTTTTATACGTGCATTTGTGTGCACGTGTTTTTCTCCATGGTAACGACATTTCTTTTAGAAAATATATCAGTTTCGTTCCTGTATGTATATTTTTTGAAAATAACCTAAAAGAGAGGATTAGGAAGACGGGGAAAGGGGGATGGGGGTTCAATATTTTGAGAAGATAATTTTGTACCGAAAAAGTATAGTACAGAGAGAATCCCGCGTTATGCTACTTCATTAAAAATAAATTTGGTGAAACTGTCCTCGAGGATATTTTAGGGATTTCCAAGGATTCCATTTTTTTGGTCTTCTTTTGGTCTTTTTTTGGTCTTTTTTTGTGTTTTGAAATTGAATTTTACATAAATCTGTGAGTATGATATTTTGTTTAAGCGATTATTATTGTATTTTGTTAAATAATAAATCATCGATCGTTGGTTAAAAAGTAGAAAAATTTGTGTCGAGTGAAAAATAAAAAATCGTCGAAAGATCTGTTAGCAGAAAGATCCAAGAATGTTCCTTTACAGACTGAAAAGCTCGTAAGCATCATTAAAAACAAATTCCGTGAAGGATGGCCGCGGATTTTGCCGGGGCTTCCTGAGGATTTTCTTCCTCTTCTCGTTTTATCCAGAATAAGTGGAGTTCTTGACGTAGCTTTTAAACTATTCCTGTACAATTTCAACTGACACTTATTTCCATACTTATCGATCTTTTCTTTTTTTCTTTTTTAATCTCTAACAAATTTTCCAATTAAGTATATAAAATTAAACGATCTAATTAATCTTTCAAACACGAGAACAAGACAAAAAAAAACTTAATGAAAAAGAATACAAAAGATTTTACAACCAAATCAAGTTAAACGAAATAGATGAAAAGATAATATCAATATGTAACATAAGAATAATCCAATCTACATATTGTTATTCAACCACTCGAATAAATGTCTCAAGTGTACAAAGAAGAAAACAAAAATGTCGAAACAGTAGAGAGACTCTTTAATATTCTTACGTGAAAACATCCCTAAATTTGGTCTCTCTTACGATCTTCAAAACAGAGTTCTTGGTCTTCAGCCATTCAGGTAGAGTCTCCATAAATCTTACTATAACGTTTAGATGGATCAGCGAGAATAGTCCATGTCTGGTTGGTTGGCTGGTTGGTTGGTGGGATGATGGGTTACTGGTTTGGTTGTGGGGTTGAAGCAAGAGTTCCGTATATCGCATTGGTACGAATGTAAAATGGCGCAAACTCGGATGCATACGAATAAAGCAGGAAAGAAAGAAAGGAAGAAAAAGAAAAGATAAAAGAGGAATCGAGAGTGGATACGAAAGAAAATTCGTCACGTGCTGGGAAAATGGCCGGTTAGAGTGCATTCGGACAATACGACGTATTACGGTCATTTCTTCCCAAGTATCTTCCCAAGATAGACTCCTCTGCAAGAGGATGATAACTTCATCTGATATGTTTTTAAAGTAAAGCGCAAAATGTTTCTAGATGTATGACTCTATTTCCTCTTTTTTTTTTTTTTTTTTTTTTACTATATACACACACATACACACATACTTATACACAATACAATACGTTTTGGAAGTAGTCCAAACGAGTCAAAACTATTTTCTTATAGGGGAAAAGGAGACTGGGTAAACGGCTTGAAAGCATTTTCACGTAATTGAGAAAAGGAACCCTCCCTCCTCTATATCCTAGGACCTATTGTAGGGTTTTTAGAAAACGAAATCTTCTACTTCGAAACGTGAGTATATTAAATCTTAACACTTAAAAAAAATAAAAAAGAAAATAAGTAATGAAGAAAATATCAATATATTTCTGTGTGTTCGCAATCGTTTGGAACAAACTTCCTTTTCTCAAATTAACTCAAATAAAATTGTTTGTCGATAGAAATCGATTTCTCATTGTACATACAAAATATCCCTAACGACTCTTTGAGTAATCATTCGCCAGTCAAATTGTCCGAGCGTCTGGTAACATCGTATATAACAATGCAGATGACGAACTGTCCACGAGAACCATCGGAGGATTTGAACGGTTAAAGGAAAAAGGTGAGGAAAAATCGATCTCTGAGAGTAGGAAAAAAAACAATAAAAAAGAAAAAAAACAAAGAAAGAATTGAACTCGAATCGTGGGAAACCCGCGAGAAGAGGAAGAAGAGGAGGAAGAGGAGGAATACGATCGAACGTGTATTAAAGGGTGACTGTGGGGGTGGTGGTGGTGGTGGTGGTGGAGGACGTTGAACGTTACGAACGGCATATGAGACCGAGGAAGAGTAGGAGAAATAGGAGATGGAGGAGGAGGAGGAAGAGGAAGAGGAAGAGGAAGAGGAGAATACAGTACTCTTTTTCTCTCTCTCATTCACTCACTCACTCACTCTCTCCCTGCGCGCTCGCGCGCACGACCAGTTTTATGGATTTTTTTATCGCTGTGCTAGTGGCCCGTACAGCCCGCAGCCACTGGGATTCGGATATTCAATGTTGGCGTACCTGTATGGATATTAAATTAACACCCGTAAGCCGCGAGTATTAACAACTTTGCAAAAGATTATACGAGATTATGAGCTCAAGCGGAAAACGTGATTTTTAATACTCTCTCTCTCTCTCTCTCTCTCTCTCACTCACTCTCTAACTCTCTCTAACTCTCTTTCTTCCTCTCTCAAGTTATTTCTTCGTTTCCTCGTCATTTACGAATAGTCACGGCTCGTTAAAGATCCTATCGATCATCGGAAAGTATATATACGTGTATGTATTTACGTGTGACTTTTGACCATTAATTTTAGGTTCGACTGTGAAAAATTCAAAGAAAAGTTCCAATTTTATCGAAAGACAAAAAAAAGATCATTGACCGTGAGGAATGATCGAATCTACGAAATATTAATCGACGGAAGTTGGATTAATCGATCGATCTTAAATATTCGCGATTATATTAGCTTTGTAACTGTAAGTGATATGAGTAACCATATTCCAAATATATGTATATATATATATGTTTGCTTATCCGACAAAAATATTTATTGTTTCTCTCGTTGAAATGAGTATAAGATTGTTCATCGATTAATTAGAATAATGATATAACCAAAGATTTTTTCTTTACGATCATTAACGAAAACAATGATTGAAATTGTTTATTTAGAAATGAGAGAGAGAGAGAGAGAGAGAGAGAGAGTTAATATTCGATCCCACTAATCCACCGTTGGAATACGTCGCTTTAGTTACGCTCGCCCTTCGACGTTTTCCACTTCGCGCTCACGGAGCGGCCGGTATTAACTTCCACCAAAATTTACAACCTCCTGGTACTCCCGTCAGATCGGAAATCTCCTGTTTTTTCGACATTTCCGCAATAAAAATTCTTTCGGGGAAAGTATATATTGATATCAGAAAAAGAAAATGATTAATTTGTTTGTTGTTGCTGTTGTTGCTGTTGTTGCTGTTGTTGCTGTTGTTGCTGTTGTCGTTGTTGTTGTTGTTGTTGTTGTTGCTGTTGTTGCTGTTGTCGTTGTTACTTGTTTGTTCTAAATTATGAAATATATCATATCGCAAGATTATATTTGAAATAATCAGATTTTACTATAATAATTATCAACCTCAAATCTGTTGAACGTGCTTGCGCTTATCGACTGAGTAAGCAGTTGGTGCCGATCAACGGGAATCCCCGAGGATTGTGAAGTAGCCGCTCGCAGTAGTGCTCGCGTAGATTGCGTTTGCATGGTCAATGGAAATCGACGATCGAGCCGAGGCATACCGCAGAGCGTGCGAGAAGAGGCTACGCGATGGCAAAGGTAATAATTGATATATAGCGATGGCGGCATTGGCCGCTGACAGCCGCTAACCCGGCCGAATACGGATGACACTCGGTAATCCTCACTCTCATACCGGTTAGTGCGTCCACCTATATTCCGTGCCGTCCCATTTCCCATTCCTATGGCGTGTAAGCTCTGTTTCTACCTTTATCTATCTCTCTCACTCACCTAACCTATACTCGTATAGCCTACAGGTACAAGTATCAGGTGCTTTGTGTTATGTGTATCTGACGCAAATACTGTACACATGCACATAACACGTATATAAAGGGAATTAGTATGAGTGTATTTGGATAGTTGTTGTTGCAACGTCCAGCCAGTGGAAGCTGCGCTGTACACAGCTACACATCTACTGCAATTGCAGCAGCAGCAGCAGCAGCAGCAGCAGACGAACTCGTGCTAGTGTGCGGTGCAACTATACTAATCCGCCGATGGATTTATGGTCTTAATCACCGGCGGATTATCTCGGACAGCCGCGCTCTGCTGCCACCGACCGAAACATACGCCTGCCTCTTTGTAGATAACTGTACCTAGCTCAGCAGTAGCAGTACCACCACAGAAACCTGTCCTTCTCTCTTCCGTTGGCATGCCTCTCGGCTCCCTCTTTTTTTTTCGCTAGATGGATTTCTCATCCGCTTATGGATTCCACACCCACGTTCTCTCTCTTCTGATTCGACCTAACCACTCGAGGGATTGGCCAAGGGAGAGACCAACTAAGATGGCTGACGACGACTCTTACAGCGATACGTGCTTTCATACAAATACTTCAAGAATATAAATACAAATTCATACATGAGAAATATATATTTGACAAATAATTCAACATTTACCAAACTATGATTTACAACTATAATGTCTTATGAACCATTAATTTTTCAATTTCTAAATGGATAGGGATATATCATCCTATAAAGCTTTCTATACATATACGTTTGTGTGTGTGTGTGTGTGTATGTGCGTTATGTAGAAGATAGCAAGAATCTTGCTTTTGCAGCGAGTAAGAGAGGAAAGGTAGGATATGAAGCTTTCAGAATGAGAAACGTCCCGGCGGCGTTACAGTTTGCGAACGAGCGATGCCACACAGTGCACGCTCCTGGGATCTGCTGCAGCATTTTGGTATATACCGTGTGGAGGACTCTGGCGGGAACACCGTACCATGCTATGTGTGCTTCTATAAATCCACGAGGGCTTACTCGTGCAAAGCCTCCCTCGTGGCTCGCGCAAACCCATCCTATCCCCCTGCCATCCCCCCAGCTACTCTCCTTTCGTCTCAACGTCGTCCACCTCCTGTAACACACGTGACCGGCAACACCGACTCTTATTCTTCTTCTTTTTCTTCAAGCTACTACTAACAACCCTTACACAACAAGAGACCTCGCTTTTTCTATCTTTTTCCTAAAAAAAAAAAGAAAACCACATTCTGGTTGCTTAGAGGGCCTCTTCCTAATGTGGCATTCGTAAAACTCAGAAAAATGTTCCCCTGTTGTTGTTGTTGTAATCGATACTGCGACTGACTACTTCACGCCTCAATGCAACCCATTGTACCGTACCATGTTGGACCCTTATTCCTGAACCCACACGATGCTTTCAGCTTTTATTCTGACAATGAGTTATAGAATTAATAGACTCACTGAAGGTCATCATTAGAAAAAGAATAAAATATTCAGGAAGTACTCGAGCTGTTAATTTATTTTTTTTTCCAGGATTAATAAGTACTCGCTGTGTGTGTGTGTGTGTGTGTGTGTATCGCGATAACATAATCGGGATTCCACGAAATCAAATAAAGATCTTATCGTTTTGTATTACACATGCATACTACACATGCATACTACACATGTAGGTATACATGTTAGGTAACTGACGATCGAAATCGTGATGCGATAGTTCGATTATGAGAAAAGAATTCGTGTTTGAAGATCTTTGGGCTTACCCTGACTCGAGCTTCCGTCAAGTGCGTCCACAACGCAATTTCTTCCCTCATGGACATATCCGGATATCGGTTTCTCATAAACGTGGCCTCCAAGTCCTGAAGTTGTTGAGATGTGAAGTGTGTCCTTTGTCGCCTTTGCCGTTTGTTCTTTTTACCGTCCTTGTCATCCGTGTCGTTGACGCCAACAACACCATCGGGAGATACGACACCACCACCGGCACCCAACTCGTGTTTAACTTCTATTGTTCCAATACCTGAAAGTGTTCTGGCTTCATATTCTTTTAATATTAACATGTTTTCATGTTTGTTAATATAAGATTAATAAAACCTATAATAAAAGAAATTCATGTAAAGGGTTATCATTCGAATAAATGATACATACACGCAATCAAATAATTGTGAACAAACTATACAATAACTCTACCTTACCAATATAGTATTTATTTCATAATTTTTGATTAATTTTGTTGAAATATTATTCGATTTCACAGAAAAGAATGAAGAATTTCCTTAAAATACCAGCAACGAATTTGGCAGAAAAGAGGGTAAAAGAAAAATAATACGATCTTACAATAAGATAAGGTCTGCGGGTAGGGTCTAAGTAACGATCATAGATCACGTCGATCGTCTGACCGGTAATCTCTACCTCGACAGTATGATACCTTCACATTAGAAAGAAGAAAAGGTGGCCCCTCTTTACATATGTGTGTATGTGAGAGTGTGTGTCATGATTGCGACAGTGACAGGTGAGGGTATTCCATTCCCTCGAACTTTCCTCCAAACTTCCAACTAAACTTCCTTGCTCGAATTGACAGGCACGTGATCGATTAGTTCCCATCTCAAAGAGTACCGCTATCAGTGCACGTTAACTATCTTTCAACGAGTAATCGAAAGATGCGCTACTTTTCTTCCTCTTTAAAACTGTTAACTCAAACTTGACTGATATTTTAGCGAATGATAAATTAATCGATTATTAACCAGTTAATTGTGGCGCTGTTTGCGCTTTGAAAGTACTGTGCATTGCACAAATCGGCCGATCACGAGTACATTCGTCAAACACAGAGTAAGTGTTAGTGCTGCGGTGTTATATAGTGTATAACTAGTTTCCGTTTTGATTAGCTATACAATAAATAAAAATAATATCCAATAAAAAAAAGTTTAAGGCTTTCCTTATTTTGTTTAAATAGCACCCTATATTTTTGATAAAATAATATGATGAAAATAAGAAGAATAAAATAAATCATGACGTTGAAGAGTTACGAGTAAGTTTCATCTTTTTCTTTCTCTCTTTCATTGTCTATCTTGAAGAAAAACTGTAACTTGGAAAAAGAGAATGCGTTTGGTAAGCTTCTTCACCTCTTCCCTTCTCTTTCTCCGGAACGTGCTGGACTCAAAGAAGAGTTGGTCCTCGGGATTATAAAGAGCGAAGTGAGAGATCTGTCCTTGTTGTTAACCAGCAAGAGGAAGAGAAAGAGAAATAGTAAGAGTAAGAGTAAGAGAGAAAGCTGTGGAAAGTCCCTCACAAGGCTCTGAGGGATATTTCAATTTGCTGGGATTTAAAAGGATGGCTAGAGATAGAGAATGAAAGAAAGAGAGAGAGAGAGAGAGAGAGAGAGAGAATCGGCTAAGTGCCGAACAAACGTGCAAACGAACACGAGCTTGAGATTCTTGAAGAAAAGTAGAAGAGAGAAGAAGTGAAGACTGATCTTCCAATTCAGTCGTCCTTTTTTTACCAAACTTCTCTAAGATTGAAAATGACGAGAGAGTACACCAAAACGGTTCATCCTCCTAAGATTGTACAATCACGTTACAATCGTCAGAACAAATAATTGTCTAGATCTTTATAACTTAAATTCTGTTTCATGTTTTATTCGAAAACCACAGGGGATCATGAAGAAAACAGACAAGGATCATCAAGAGTTAACTAAAACAAACCTTTTTGTATGTTCGGCCTATGCGTGGTATTTGTGCGTGATCTTGGTTGAGCCGTTGAAAATCCTGCTGACTGTGTCATCGTCGAAGTGACACCAGGTGTACCAGGATTGCTTCCACCCGGTGTATGTGCCCCATGACCCGTTGAATCGAGCCTTGCCAAGCCACCGTTCGTTTCGTCTCGGAAATCGCTTTGAGCCCATACTGAAATTTATAATTAACAATTTCTTGCAAAGTCTTCTTCTTGTTCTTCCTTTTCTTTTTTTTTTTTTTTCTTTTTTTCAATCCTAACAATAAAAATGAATATAAAAGCAAAACCAACATATTTACATTCATACATTCTCCCCACTCTGCACACATTTTCGATGATATACAAATGAAAACTATTTAGCACTAATACTTGTATGTTATAACACTAAAAGAAAATGTCAATTTGCAATAAAATAATAAATTTCTTTGATTGCTCTTGAGAGAGAGACAGAGAGAGAGAGAGACTGAAAAACGAAACGTTTAATGCGGAATCACAGATTGGACGAGAGACATTTGAAAATTACGATCCAAGCGAGGTACACCTCGATTATTTATCTACTTCTCGGCATAAGAGAGAGAGAGAGAGAGAGAGAGAGAAATAGATGGTAGGGGGTAAGGTTGTTAGAAGAAAATAAAAGATATTTTTCTGTTTCTGTGGCTGTTTTGGGGTCGAGAATAGGGCCTGGCCCGGGTTGGTCTGGGCCGAGCGTGATATTACAAGGAAAACACAGAATAAGTGAGAAAGAGATAGTAGGACTGTCACAAGTATCCAAGCACAAGCTGCTTGAGAAGTTAATCGTCCCGCTCGTTTAGTTTCCCTCCGTTTAGTTATATTTGGTCTCCACGGGGGCGGCAAAGAGGAGGGACGCGGTTCACAATTAGTCGGCGCATAACTCGTTCTGATTTATTGCTACGACATTTAGCCGACCGCTCGAAGACGCTCATGTCATTCTTCCTCGATACCGCCAACTCATTCTCCCTTTTTTTCCTTTTCTTTTTTCCTTTTCTTTTTTCCTTTCCTTTTTTCCTTTCCTTTTTTACTTTCTTTCATCATACCTAACGAGAACGTATTTAGACTAAGATGGAACAAGTTCATTATTTTTAGTTGGAAAAATATATTTTCGACTGGATTATCATTCAATCGAATTTATAATCTTTTCCTTCGAATACAATTTTCATTTATATTTTTTATACGAATAATAAAGTTGTTTATTCTTATCGTCCTTTTTTATTTATCATACTAAAAAAAAAGGAAAAAATATTCTAACTGGAGAACAAATGTCAATGGACTTTGTTAACATTTCTTTGAATAATCTCTTTTATTAAATACAAAAAATAAAATATATAACATATATATAAAGAGTTGTATTTATTAACCATTTCTCTTCTCTTTCCCACGCTTAATCTCTCTCTCTCTCTCTCTCTTCGAAAATCAATATAAATAATCTTATATTTGGAATAATAAAAAAGAAGGAAAATATAAATACATCAAATAAAGTTGTATGAAAGATGTAAAAGTTTCACTATCATTCCGCAAATATGAATAGGACGATTTAGATCCCCGATCTTAGGATTTCAAACAGTTTAACACAAACAGATCGATTATGTTGAACGACATGTATATTACAAGATGTTACATTGTCGGCTTGTTTGTAAGAACGACTCTAAGAGTATAAAGGAGGACACGTCATCTTTCTTGATGTTATCCGACAAAGAAGATTCACGTTTTCTCAAAGGTATAACCTTAACCGATTTATCTGACAAGAATATGTACAAGACCATGTAAAATGTCCAACTAGTTTGTCCATTTTCTTATTATTTCTTTTCTATATTTTATATTTACTTTCAAAGTATCTAGTATCTAAATCAATAATGTTCACCACGCGTTACATGTTTTTCAACATTTTGTCTCTTTAATAGAAAAGAAAAATAAATAATAGAAAACAAAAAAAAAACAAAAAAGTAAAAAGAGAAGAAAAATGATTTCAAGAAAAAAAAAATACAAACCGAAACTGTAAACACGAGTAAAACAAATGATTATGGTATAAATTGATTTTGATAGTAACAAAAGTCGAAAATTAAATTTCATTCCCACATCTAGGGACCCTAGATTGCAGGCGTGACGACGCAGTTGACGTTGTATGTCAACATATGAAATATAAATACAGAACACAGAATTCAACACCACAGATAAGGCCCCCCCCCCTTTAAATTCTTAACCGGTGTCTCATAAAACCATAATACGCGCCACCGATACTGAGTGTAAAACTAATTTATTGATCATTATTGCTAATAGAAGATTAATTAATAAATAAAAAAACAAATGTTTTTCTAGATAAGAAAATAATATAAGTCAATAACGTAAATAATTTTTGGTTCTTGTTGATTTCCTTAAACGAAAATCTTACGTCAAAACGTATTGTTTTGACGAAGTATAAAACTAACAGAACATAGAAATCCCGACTATCTTACTCTATTTCAAAGGCTTGTATATTATTTTAAGATTAGAGTTAATCGCGCATAATCTAGCATGGTGATCCGTGCGAAGCTATTCCGTGCGAAGCTATTCCGTGCGAAGCTATTCCGTGCGAGCCACCTCGCAGTAGGTTTCCTTCTCGTAGTAGGAAAATTTATTAGGGTGCATAGTGTCACCCCTCCTTGTCCTTCCCTCCTACTACCCTCCTGCGTAAGTTCGAACCAGTGAGATTGTTGTAACAACAAAGGAGAACGTGGGAATGCAAAAGTCACCGAAATAGCCAATGTCGCGACAGAATAGAAGATATCATCGAATTCGAATATCGTTTATCTTAACTTGTTAGATACAATCATTTATTTCTGATATCGGATTGATTGTAATTGTCAACATGTAAAAAAGAAATACAATATAATGGAATCGAATAAATGCATGTACAAATTCGAAAATGCGTAAATATGAGAATACAAAGTTTTATTTTTCTTATCGCAACAATATGAAATTTTTGTCTGATTTGAATAAAGATTAAAAAAAAAAAAGGAAAAAAAAAGAAAAGAAAAAAAGCAAGGAATATATCAAATTATTGCGAAATCATATTTTTCTTGGAAAGAAATTGTATAGGTATATTTATTTTTTTGTTCATAGGACGAAAAAGATAATGCAAATGATAAAATATTAACAAATTTAAGGATCCACGAATGAATCTTATTTGTGATATTTTAATTTTCTATATGGTATTAAAAAGTATTTTATTCTTCAATTAGAAGATAATATTTTATACAATTTAATAGTTCCTACATGAATCTAATATATGAAACATTTTAGTTTTGTAGATATTTTTGAATGTGAAAAATGACAAAGTGGAAGACATGAGGGTGAGTTGAAAAATTGTTAACCCCAACAAACATAAGGTTAGACCGACAAAAATTGCTTCATAACTTTTTAACCAACCCATGTGTGTTATAAAATTTAAGGTTGCATGTGCCTTTATTGTACGATTTTTGAGAGTTTGGCTCGAAAAAAAAAAATAAAAATAAAACCATGAAAAGGAAAGGAAAGGAAAGGAAAGGAAAGGAAAGGAAAAAATTTGGTTTGGTTAGAATAGTCCTTTTCTCACGTAGGATTTCCACAAGGAGGAGTGGTGGTGTCTCGTTGCATTTCTTCGCACATGTGTTTTTTTCGAAGGAAGGTATCATGAAAGCGCGTACACACATACATTGGCAGAAGGGAGGAAGAAGATTGGGATCGTCGTTCGAGCAAGAAGGATGATAAATAAAGAAAAGAAAAAGAAAATGAAAATGAAAGGGAATGAAAGAGTGAAAGAGAGACAGACAGACAGACAGACAGACAGACAGACCGACCGACCGAAGGACAGGTTGTAATTCACAAATTTATTACTTTTAGTCAGGCTCTTCGGTTTATTTTATGCCAAAGACAAACCGTTTCTCTATCTTTCTTTCTCACTCACTCACTCACTCACTCACTCACTCACTTATTCACCAACTTGCTTGAACGTATAAACACACACACACAGACACGTATGTAGATACTTGAAAGGAGACGGACAAATATCTCAGCTGCTTCGGCGCGTTTTTACACTCTCGCTGGATATATTAGTGGCTACGCTAATCCGCACGGATTTTACGGTGCGGCTGTGCACCGCGAGTGAACCAAGCTTCCATCTCTCTCTATCTCTTTCTCTTTTTCTTTCTCTTTTTCTTTCTCTTTTTCTTTCTCTTTCCGTATCTTTCGGTTCCCTACCCGTTCCCATTTAGTCCCCATCATCGGTTCTTGCCTACCGATCGAGTGACTTTTACTTGCTACCGATTATCCTCTTCTTTTTTCCTTTCTTTCTTTCTTTCTTTACATTTTGTTAATTCATATCACTAAACTATATATATATATTAATAATTATATAGTTTTAGTTATACTATATATTTATACTTATATTATACTGAAATATAAGCTAAGAAACAGTAGGAAATATTTACATTGTTACGTACCAATTAAACGAGAATTATGTACAATAGTAATGAATATATACTAACCATAAGTAACATTTAGAAATAATATATTAAATGGTTAATTGTACAAAGTATAACAAAAAGTGATGTATGTGTCTTCCTGACACTAATTTTCTAATATCGACTAAGTATTAAAGTCATTTTAATAATCGTTGACTGCCCAATGAGAAGATAATACACGATCATGAATAAAGTTACACGTGGTATGAAAGTATATGAGTATATATTTGTGGGTGTTTAGTGGACCGTGGCTTGAAGAAAAAGAAAAAGAAGAGGGTTAGCAAGGGGTCGCTAAAATATCCATATCAAGCAGCTGCGTTCCTACGGCAAAGCTCGCACGAAATTAGTCACTCGAACAAATTCTTATCCCTGCAAAATTCCCATAACTCTTGCGAATGTCTTTATCGTTGTTGTGTGCTGCACCGGGGGAAGAAAAAAAAAATGATTAGAAATTTTACTAACGGTTCAATGACTCCGACATTTTTCTAGCAATTCTCGAATAAGACACAATATTTGCAAATAAAAAAGAACAATAAATAATAAAACAAGCAAAAGCCAAGTTAAACCATGTTCAAGTAAGATAAATATATTTTATTATTGTTTAAATTGTGATAGAAGGTGTATCCAATATTAAATATTTTAATATTAATTCAAGTATCCAGATTTGTTGTATGCAT